TCCCTGTTAATCCTCTGGTTGTTGAGTCTTTGGACTGAAGACAGAGACATGAAGCAGTAAAGATCAGAGACAGAGCTGCTGAGGAAGCAGAAAACTGTGGTAATTCTGTAATCATGTTTCTATATTTATTTTGTTTACATAAATAACTTTACTGAGTTATTTGTTCAGGTTAACATTTCTTGAAACTGAATCAGGTTTGATCCATCAACAGGATGACGAATGTAGAGCAAAATCCTTTGGGGCCCTCTGGACCTGATAAAGTGTTACACAAGTACAGGACATTTAGCACCACCTGCTGGTAAGGAGTGTGGACCAAATGTGGCCCAAAGAAACTCAAATCCTTTTAAATGACTGTCTTAAACAGAACATGACCTGGTAGCTTTTACTTCTAGTTTTGTAGTTTTGGCTGTGATTGGTTGATACATGAATCCAATCACTGGGGGTATATAAAAATATACCCCCAGTAATTTATAGATTACTTCATGTAGTGAGGGATGATGAAGTTGAATTAATTTTCACAGAGCATCAGCATGCAGAGCCTGAAGCGAGGAGGATTCTCCCCTCTCTGTCAGCCTTTCCTTCCACATTAGCAGTTCTCTTTAGGTGTGTTTTGTTAGTCATTTGAAGTAAAATTGTAAGAAAAATCTTTATTTTTAAATTGTTAGAAAGTCTATTTTCTAAAATAACATCACTGGGTGAGGATATGGGCCCTGATCAAATGCTGCAGTCATCCCCTCCATAGAAATACAATCTGATAAGACATTTTTAACTTATTAATATTAACTCCGTCTTTAAGTTTATACATATTCCTTTCTCTGTAATGCTAAGAAATACTAATACAATGTAAGTGGATTAGGATATATTTATTTCCATACTTATTGAGGTAATTGTGGCTCATTGAGAAAAACAGGTGAGAGTGAGAGGTGGAGCAACACTGGAAAGTTTCACTTCCAGTTTCCAGAAATGAAAGTAAAATGAGTGAAGAACAGCAGAGCTGCAGTCGAGACTTAATTTCTCAGTCTGTGCTCATTTCTTCTTTCTCAACAACTGAGTCAAACAGCGGTGAGTACAGCTGATCATATTCACTGTTTCTATCTGCAGCAATCTGAACGATTTCAAGAAGAAGCAAGCTGGGAATAATCTTCTCATTGCTTTCAGAAGCATACAGACTTTAAGCTAAACATTTATTTTCCAAATGTTTTAACTTACATTAAAACTACATTTTTCATGCTATGAAAGTGGATCTTACGATTTCATTCCAACTAAAAATAAAGAATTATTCCATCAGCAGTTCAACTGTCAGTTTAATTTAGCTTCAGTTAAATCAGTGGTTCCCAAACTTTTTCTTCTGCACCCCCCTATGGATTACAAATGGCTGTCTGGTTGAAACGACACGTGTGACGGGGGGGGAAGGGGGGGATCGACTTTTTTGGGAGCAAAATGAATGTACGTAGCTGAAAATAGACACCAACATCGGTAGCCTACAAGGTACTTGTTAAGCTTAAGGTTCTGTATTGATATTAGCTAGTCATCTTTTAGCTAACATTACCTGCATCCAGCAGCTTTACTCAACTCAGTCGGTTAGTTTGGAGGG